TGGCTTCTCCTGGGGCTGCCAGGACTGCCTGCCTCACCCCAGTGGTGGGGGTGGGCAGCTGGGGGAGCAGCCGGACGAGCTGCGGCTTCTCCTGGGGCTTCCGGTTCAAGCCGAGGCTTGTTCGGCTGCTCCCTCAGCTGCTCCCGCCTGCACTGTCTGCCTGTATAGTCTATGGCTGAATAAGATTTGGCACCGAATATCTTCAGATTCGGCTGAATTGAATCGGGACAGTGATTCAAATCACCGCATCGAATCACTGTCCCTCTGAATCACTGAATCTGAATCCAGAGCAAATACTTTCTACTTCACACAGGCCTACCAGGTAGCTCTTTTGAATGGGGACCATCTCTTTGTTCCCTGTTTGTACAGATCTAGAACAATGGGCTCCTTGTGCACAGTGAAGGCTTCTGGGCACAATGTTAATACAAAATAGCAATAATTAACCATGGCAGTTCCCTGCAGAACATCCCCTTGAGGTGTGGCCTATGGGTCACCAAGTTTAATGCAATGAGTTCTCTCTCACCCCTGGATCCTGAAGATCCACAGCAGAGTGCAGCCTCTGATCTGCAAACACAGAAGATGTCCTTCCCAGTTGATTACTCCCTCTCTGCCACACAATTGCATTTAGTTCCTTCTGGCAGAATAGTTTCTGCATGACCCTCGTGTACCATTGGCTGAATTCCCCCGCAGCTGCTACAAAGCAACTGCAGACCAGATTCAGGGGGAGTTCCCACAGTTCAAAGTCACTTCAAAGATGTCTTAAGATAATCTGGAAAACTGTTGAAGATGGATAGTAGGCCACCCACTAGATTTCCTAGTTATGAAGCTTCTGCCTTGCTTTATTTATTTATTTACTTGTCAGTCACTGTTTGGGGCTGTACAGGATACAACAGGCAAAGAGCCTGCAGCATAATGGACAGTAACAGCAAAATTTGATGCCTTGATGCTCAGTGATTCCATGTTATACATATAAGTGATGGTGCTTATCAATAACAGTATTATTATTGTGTGAAGAACAAATTGAGAAAACTTCACTGACCTTCTATTTATAGTATGAGCTGCAAGATTTCACTAAATATTTTGCAGTTTCTCTGACAAGTGCTTTGATACAGCTATATATTTATTTTTTTAATGCCAAACCCTCCTGTGATACCTACCAGTGTTGTTTATTTCATTTGACATGTGTTGTACTGTCTTCCCTTTAAACTCAAGGTTCATGTTTTGTTAAACCTACGAACACTGTAACCTCTCCGTTGTTCTGAGGCGATGACATGAAAAGTGTAGATAGCAACTCAGTGGCCTCTTCCTCTTTGATCAGGACATGAGTGCCTGTCTTTCAGTCAAAGACTTATGTTTTAATGAGGCTTTGGCTGTCACTCACATAATAGTTATAAGCAGATGGGAAGGCTGTCTGCCTCCATTGGCACACCAACAGCATGTGAGAAGTTCAAACAGACTGGATTTAATTGGAGATGCTGGTAATAGGCAAACTAATAAAGCTGATCTTTAATCCTGTAAATGTATTGGCAAATCTTTCCATGATTTTGGAAAAGCCCCAGAATGTGTTATAATTTTGTAGATGACAGAAGCTAAAAGCTGAGGTTGAGGCACAGGCTCCTATTAAAGTTGGCTCTGTTTTTTGATGGAATAGTTTCTTTATACAAATATCAGTTTAGAAAGCAGTCGGGATAACAGTGTAGCTGGTAATGTCTCTGAGTTAATGAGACTGACTCTTTTAAAAAAGTAACCCATCAATTTATGACTGAAATAATCCTGGCTTTCCGGTAGAGTTAGTGGGAAAATTACCACTTCTTGTTTAGTCTGTTTGGTTTGTCTGACCACATGATTTCAAAAGCTGTCCACAATAGAGGAGAGTCCTTTTTTGGGAGTGAATACAGATTTTGCCCTTGGCTACTTATGAAACCCCGATTGGCTTCTAAGGTTACGTCATTGCAAATAAAACAAAATGCAAGCCATTGGCCTTTGACTCTCCCTTTCCCTTCTACCGTAAATCCATGTTCTATCTCAGATAAATCATTTATTTCTTCAGATGCATATGGTATTGCATTGACTAAAAGGAGAAGCATCATCCTTTGAATCTGAAATGCATCTTCTTTGTGCTATACATTCTCCTCTCTAAGAACTGCAAATAGGCTTTGAGTATAGGGCTGCTTGTTAAACTATTTTGAAAGCTTCTGGGGAAATCAGTTTGCTATGAAGGCATAAGAAAACTGTACCTCTGCTTTTCAGCTAATGCATCTCCATTGCCCATTACAGACTAATGGAGTTAATGATTTATGGCCTGACTGTACAGGATGTTGAACAATTTCAGAGGAAACTGCAGATACTCAGTATCCCTAACTATAAGGTTATGAGTTTATATCTAAAAATGTCTCTCTCTCATTTTTCTCATTATACAGACACACAGGGAGTTCAAGATACCTGTTTAATGAGCTGATTTTGCAGGAATGGACTAGCTTATGCTACTTGAAAGTTTCACTTGATTTAGTTAGGTAAATTTGAGTGCTTAACAGTTTATTGCAATAGCTGGGCACAACTGCTGGGGGGATGTGGGCACAACAGAGGGGAGCAACAGGCTACAGTTGGACGTAGATAGGTTACAAGGATGGGCGGAGGAGAACAGGATGGGGTTTAACACGGACAAGTGTAAGGTGATGCACCTGGGGAGGAACAAT